GTGAGACCAACCCAAAGCTGATTAAGCAATTGGTCGACTCGTTCAAGTTACCCCCATTAAGAGTTGCAAGTTTCAATGGAGACCCTCTGAAGTCTGTCTCTTATACACATCTAGATGTGTATAAGAGACAGTTTTAAATGTCCAGGCTGCAATGTGATTATATTGGTAAGACAGATAGGTGCTTAATAACTAGACTTAAAGAACATTCTTCACGATCTGATAGTGTTATATTTGATCATGTTAAAAACTGTGAGGCATTTCAATTTGTTTTAGGATTACAGAGTATACTTGAAAATGATAATGTCGTCTGTAATGTAAGTAATAAATTAGGTTTAATTTTCTAGTACTAGCATTATTGACAGCTCCCGAAACTGGTCTATCCTATTGTTTAAAGAAGCGTTCGCTATACGTAGACTACACCCTTTGCTTAACAATGGGCTCAGAGCTTTAAAAGAGCTTTCTTTGTTTTTGTAGGTATCTTTGATCATTAGAGTAAGAATGCTTTAATCTTTTGTTTAAATCACTGCTATGTCACCTACTAGAGGTAATGTTTTGATGGGTTAAACACTTTTGGTACTAGTGCATATAAGCTTGCTAATATGGATAATTTTTTCATTCCTGATGATGACATAATTAATGTCGAAATATTGAATCCCAACACGATGGCGTATATTTCAATACTTGGAGTATGTATTATACTTTCTAAACTGTATACAGTAATATCAAATTAATATACTATTATATTATGTTTTTTATACCACTTACTTTGAAAGACAGTGATTGGTTGATGACATTTGCATATGGTTCAGCTCTTGTGTCATTCCATGATATAAAGTTACAGTAGTGTGTACCAGTGTGCCTACCAAAAGAAATTGTTCAATTGAAAATAACAGAAGCACAATATAATAATAATATTAATTATTATGTAAAACTGGCTTTAGATCCTTATTCTTTACAAGTGGCTATAAAGAAAATCTAAGCCCTGTGTACACTATCAAATTTCGCTTGACAAAAAACATGTGACATGCCTATATATGGACATAATGACATCACATCATGCCCATATATAGGCATATCATTGCTATATATGGGCAAACAACAGAAAATTTGATAGTCTGGACAATGTTTTATCATGGAGGATTTGGTTTAAACTAGTGTAATTCCTCCATGGCGTTATAAAATAAAGTATTTATTGGGAAATTTCACCTTTACTGTATGTATATTGGTGGCCCACACAAAGGTGGTGTATCCATATTGTACAACTTATAAAAGGACAAACAAAATTATAAACAAAGAATTAAACTATTAACTTAACAAAAATACACAAAGGCCTACACTTACAAATTGAAATTGGCAATTAAAAGTACTACAGTACTCCAGACAAAGAGGTCACCAACCAGGTGACTAAAGAGAAGAATTTATTTATATTTATTTATTTTGTTTCTTTTTACTACAATGTTAGGCTATAGTATACTGTATTCAGCAATTCTTATTTAAACCATTTTTTAAAATTTGTTTTTTTTTTTTTGAGATTTGAAATAGATGCCATAAGAAAATGAATGAACCTGGGGAAGTCACAAGGAATATGGCAAACCATCCCTCTCTGTGTATGAAGCGACACATCTACAAATTAAAAACAAGGAAATTATAAACAAAGTATTAAGCTATTAACTTAATTAACAAAATACATATACCCTTACACATTTTAACAGGCAAATACTCCAGACAAAGAGGGAGGACCACCAATCAGGTGTCTATAAAGTGCAATTTAGTTTTTGCTACAATACTGGGCAATTCTTATTTAAACCATTTTCATTGTTAATTCATGTATGTTCGTGAAGTTTTGAAATAAACCATTAGAATGATGAATGAATGAACTACCTGGAGGAAGTAGCCATGAATATGGCAAACCAGATCTCCCTGTGTATGAAGCAGTATTTCCACATCTTAAACATTTTTTCATAAAATATATGTATATAAGCAAGTTTAAGAAAGAAAAAAAAATTGAAAAAAAAAATGAGAATCTCATTAAAAAATTACTTTACACACAGTAGTACAACTACCAGACAATTAAATAGACCCATGCTTGTTTAATGTAGCTTTTACAAAGAGGTCAAAAATTCTGTAAATAATTATAACTATACAGTAATGTGAATGTTTATGTTAGATCAAGGAGGTAATAATAATGTGAATGTTTATGTTAGATCAAGGAGGTAATAATAATACCTCCTTGATTTGATCAAATACAAAGTGCTACAACAACCAAGGAGGTACTTAATACAATTGACAATCACACCCAGACTGTCTATATGTTTGCTTATGTCTGTACTTCACAAAGATGTAAAAGGTAAATACAGATGTGAAAGTTTGTTCTTCCTATAGCTAGTCTACTACTATGTATTTAAATTTAAAATAACTCTAATTATGCAAATATTTGATTTTTTAAGTGTAAACAGTGCTTCGGATAAAGACTGGTCATAACAAATTTGAAAAATTTCAATTTCATATTTCAATTGCTTAATTTGTATACTGTAGGACCCCTATTAGGGGAATACCTTAGGATAAAAAAAGCGTGGCCTTAATAGGAGTTGACCATAGTGTTAAAAGACGTACTGTATCCCCCACCCCTGTTTAGAGCCCAAAAAAGTGTTCATTTAATAGGGGTGTCCCAAAGTAGGATTCAACTGTATATAAGTATATTAACATGCAGTTCAAAATTTGAATAAAAAAAATTTCTGTCAATAAACAGAGATTTAGAAAATCTTTTAGTATTCTTTTGTAACAAATAGATTGGCTAGTGAATCAATTTAGGAATTTCTATTAATAAAATACTGTCAATTATCAAAAACTATTTTTTTCTATCTGTTTCAAGTTGGATGTTAACTTTTTGTTCCTTTTATAAAGTAAGATATTCAAAATTTTAACTGAATTTATTTTTTAGGTGTTACCCAAATTCTTTTACAGTAGCACACAGTACTGGCAAATCCAATAATTGGTATTAAACCTAAACTTTTGTAATGAAAAAGTTCAATGAACCTTTACATTCCTTATTAATAAATATTCTTACTCTTAAACATCAATCACCATATTTTTTTGTGCTAATATTTATTGCATTTTAAACCTGTGTGGCAATTTTTGGCACATGTTTAGACAAAATTAATGTATTTAATGTCGTAGGTTTCAACAACAGACCGGGCCACTAGTGTATTTGGTTGGACTAACTATGGTAGTCGTGATGACTGTCCTTGCCGTACAGTTTATCACAATAAATCACAGTGCCTACTGTATAATCAAGGTTGACGTACTTCCAAAAACTCAACAGATACAAATTGTTTGAATACAAAGAATGTCGCCCTACCCTTTACACTTTTTTTTAAATAAGAACAAATTTAATAAGAACACTAAGGCTGAAATTGCTTAAAAATTAAGAACATAATAAAAACAAGTGAGGCTGATTTAAAATGTCAAATGAGGTTTTTATTTTTAAAAAACTAGAAAAACCAAAAAATTACATCTATACCTTACAGTATGTGCAGAAGGTGTGACTAGCCTTTTTAATACAGTAGAGTAGGGGTGTGTTCGGGCGAGAACGAGAAAAAGTTACATAGTGTTATTACATTGCATTGCATCCGCAGTTGGTCTACCGGTTCGTGCAGAACTCAGCTTTAAAAAAAAAACCAATAACTTCGGACGTAAAACCTCAGATATACAAATGATGAGTTTCTATCAAGTTGCCCTGCACCTTTGAGTCACCCAGCTGCGTCACCCCACAATTTTATTAAGAAACAGACTTTGGCATTGGTCCACTGCATTAATGTAGTTGTCTCAAAATCAAGTAATGAAATTACCAAAGAAGCTACAACAACAATAATAAAGCATAGCAAACTCCCAATAAATCACAGATGTGCATTTTGTGTGCATAAACCATGAATAAACTTTCATTTGTTTGACAATTGTAGTTTAAAAACAGGAAATTACTACCACTGTTAAATGAATAAGCAGTGGTGCCATGGTCATGTATGCATGCGGCAGACGTACAGTATGTAACAATTTTGATTCTAGGCTAGCCCTCAGTTGAAATAATTTATTTTATCAAGCATTTCAGTTTTGTTTTTAGAAATAAACTGTAAAAGAAGGCAGGGAACATCATTTAAAACAGACTTTACTTCTGGCGCATGTTAAAACAATCAAAAGGGATTAAGTGGATACAAAATGCTCCCTGCTGATACCACATGCTGCTTTTGCTCTTCCAAAAACACTGCAATTTGCAGCGTTGGATTATCAGCGGATATCAACAGGCGGTCTGCGTTTAACCAAGGCAACCAAGGCGTACATCTCGGGACATCAAAGGTTATAACTCTGGCATCGACATTCTAGGCGCACGTGCGTCCCTACACGCTGAACGTCACAAAAACCATAGCAACCAGACCATAAACCGTCACCATACATGACGATTTACCTACGCGCGTGTTAGTTGCCATGATAATCGCGCGTCGTGCAGTGATTACAAAGGACTGATGATATTTTGCACTAACATTAGACTGAAATATATTCTTCATTTCAACATTAATTTTACCGAAATTGTGGAGCATTGTCGTTCATGAGACTCACTTCGCAGTAAAAATTAATAAATGTCCTGTATATACTCAAATGCTCGTTTTTGGCACCTTATGCCAACATTGTCAAAATGACAGATTAATATTACATAAGAACATGAAATTTTATAAAATTCGTAAAATTTAACTCTTCATTTTCTTGGTCAATTTTCACAAATCAAATTGCAGTTTATAGAAGCATTTAACAAGCTCGCATTAAAAAAAAAATCAGATGTAACAGACATTGCGAAGTACCCAAAATTAATAAAATAAAAACTTACACCACAAAACGAATGGCACGCATAGACTAATAATTGACGGCTGTACTCGCAACTAGTACCGGATTGTCGATGCCACAGTAAAGATCAAAGGACTGTACGCACGCACTATGTTCGAGAGCGGAGATGTGCGTCCTTCTGTTGAATTACCTTGGTTTAACACCCGTTCGGGCTAGAACTGGAAGTGACAGTTTCCAGGTTTATCCCGTGTTAGACTACACAAAACTCGCCCGAATGCACCCCAGGTGTGCCTACCTGTCATTTGGGGCCATTTTTCTAGGATATTTTTTCCAGGGCATTTTTTTTATATATTTTATGTAAACTTGGGTGAGGCCTGGGCTATCAACCGAGGATGGGCCTCAAATCCTACGCTACCGATTTAGAGTCAAATTTAATATACTCTGGATGTTCTGTATCTATCATTTAAACACTTTAAAATGTTTTTTTTTTTATAAACTATTAATAATTAATAAAATGAAATTTCTAGTAATTAAAATTTAAAAATTAAAAAAAAAGGTTTTTTTAAAGCTGTCTGACGGGACATAGTCTTTCACTATATACTAGTTCGGGCTTAATGTAATGTGCCCAGGCTGATCTGTGATTCATAAGGCGTTACACAATGAGGCCTACTGTATTATTATTAGCCTACCTGTCCCAAAGAGTGATCGTAGCTCTTTGCACGGATATCCCCATACATGCAACATTCTTCACCGAAATGTTAGCATCTGAAATATAAAAATAATAAAATTATGTATAATTATTATATACTTATTTATATTTCTAGGAGATCTGGTTTGCGAGCTTTCTTAACACTTACAGTTGCTGTTCATGGTGACACCCATGGCCAGCTAGCGCCGGGGAGACAAATTCAAATATATTACTAAAAACTGAAATTGTTGGAGAGGATTAGTTTCCAGGAGAATTGTGCTTGCTTGTGGAAATTCAGGAGGCAGTAGCCAATTTCCAGGAGGCCCTGAGTCTCAGAACCCCTGCAAACCTACACACATAAGTTCTTCATTAACCAATTCTCAAAGAGGCTTAGGTAGTGAAGTCAATTTGATCATGAGAAAAAAAAACATAGGACTGGGATTGGAAGTCAAGATTCTTTACCACTAAGCTGAAGCTCCACTCCATCAACATTGCAGGATTTGAACCCAGGCCGGACCCTGACATTGGAAGCAAGCATCTTAACCACCAAGTTCAGCTCCACTCCATCAACATTGCAGGATTTGAACCCAGGCAAGCATCTTAACCACCAAGTTCAGCTCCACTCCATCAACATTGCAGGATTTGAACCCAGGACCCTGACATTAGAAGGCAAGCATCTTAACCACCAAGTTCAGCTCCACTCCATCAACATTGCAGGATTTGAACCCAGGACCCTGACATTAGAAGGCAAGCACCTTAACCACCAAGTTCAGCTCCACTCCATCAACATTGCAGGATCTGAACCCAGGACCCGGGATTGGAAGGAAGCTACAGCTCTATGTCAATGAGGCTAAAGGAAAGTCAATATACTGTACTTTTGGTTGAAAACAATCCTAAGACTTTGCCAGGGTTGAACAGGCTAAATCCCAGGGATTGGAAGGCAAGAAAGCTACGTGCAGCTCTACTGTCTGTCAACGAGGCTAAAGGAGCACTGTTTTTTTTTTGTGGTCGAAAAAATAATCCTAATACTTTGCCAGGGTTGCAGGCCAAGACAGGTAAAGTCTGTCAATGAGGCAGTTATAATCATTATTATTTTTTTGTTGTTGAAAACAATCATAATACTCTGCTAGGGTTGAAAAGGCTAAGACCTTGGGGTTGGCTAGTTACCTCTGCCAAGCCACAGTTTCACATTGGTCTCACTTACAAATATAGTACAACAGTGATCAAGTCCTGTATAGTTTGGTACTGGATTCAAAGTAGAGAGTAGTAGTATCCTACACATCTGCAGTAGGATACCATTTTAGGGACAGGAACTCAATAGTTTTATACATTTCCTTTATGAATTTGTTTCTTGTCTATGTTTGGTCTTTCTCAGGTTGACTCCGGGGCAGAATTGAGAAAAAAACATGTCCTTACGGGAAAAAGCAATTGCAGCTCCATACTGTAGCTCGATTAGTTTTGCCTGGGAATTAAATATTGATGATGAGGCCAGCCGTACAATTGGTCAATTTATTGCTTTGGAGCCAGATGGGCTCTACATTATTACCAAACAAATCTAAAAGATTATCTGTTTTTAATCATGTACAATAGGCAGTCTACAGAGTATCTAAATTATTAGAATTTATTTTTTTCTTTGTAGACATAATTAGGGATAAAACAAAAAGACACTAACTCTAAAAAAAAAGGTTATTGTCAATTTTTTTTTTTTAACTATTACATATTCTTTTATCTTTTCCTCTCAAGCAATTTGTTAGTTTCATGGTGGAAACAGACTGTAAGTAAAGTAACTAGGTCAAAGACACCAGCGAAGTACACAGCAAAAAACTGAAGAAACCATAAACTTGAGGTTCCTATGGCACTAAATCACGGTTTTGTTTAAGAAAAAAAAAAAAAAATGGTGAGGCAGAGAAAATGTCTAGATGTGTATAAGAGACAGGGCGAGAAACTATTTTCTTTTTTTTGGCCTAATAGATCACTATTTACTACCACCTCTCCTTTGCCATTATACTGTGAATATCCTAGCTTTTATGATTATCATCTTTGGATCATAAATAAATTTAATTGCATTCACTTTAAAGATGCAGATACTGAATCTCTATGATAATTGTAGCAATGCAGTACTCTATTTGAGTGGAGTTGAATAGTTTAAGATGCTTACCTTCCAATCCCATGGTCCTGGGTTCAATTCCTGGCATGGTATTAAATAGGATTTCTTCTCACGACTATTAAAAACAACTCCCCACCCTAGCCTCAGAATGACTTTGTCTACATAGAGTGCACATGTGTTTGTCTTTGTGAAGGAAAATAAATTATAAAACAAATAATAAAATATATTCTTAAAAAAATGATGTTTAAAAGTATAGTACCTGATATTGCTTGTTTTACAACAGTGGTAAACTGTGCCCATACAGTGTCTGGAATAAGCTCAATAGTGTGATCTTGAGGACAATGTAGCTGAACCTATGGATGAAAAAATTTTATTTCACATAGATTAGCATAATTGTTAAATTAAATTACTGGTCTAAAGGACCTGAAAATCTCATAACTATTCTTTGCTAACAACATCTCCCCACCCACCCCGAAATGAAATTACAGTAATGTAACATAAATAATAATTTGTGATTAGACTTCATTGAGAGTTCACTTCTTACCTTCTTCTATTAGCTAGATAGTAAATGTGAAAATCCTGAATTAAAACAAAGGTCTTGTACAACTACTAGGTGTTTTTTTTTTTCCCTTTAATGGTTGATGTTTTTAAATTTATAGTGCAAATTACAAAAAGTCTCGCTGTAAACACATCATCATCATCTTCTTTTTCCATTTATCTCCACCATCAACATAATCTTCACCATCCTCTTTTCATCTCCACTACAATCATTATCAACATCAATGTCAACATAAATAAAATACAAAGCTTCTACTATTAAAAATAATCTTCAATGTACTATCACAAGCTATTGTTGCTTTGTAAACTGTAGTATACTGTTGGGACTACCAATTTCACCCTGGTTATTTCCCACACTTGTCCGCGCAAGTATACCCCATAAATGCTTAAACTTCCCCCATATTTACCACACCTGTGCCACCAAGTCCTAAAAAAATATACAGGGTACCCCAAAAATTTGGCACCTCCTCGTACAGAAATATTTAAGAGTGAGCTCCCTAGGGATAAAATATTGGTCTGGGAAAATTCTTTGAATACAGTTAATTTAATCCACAATTCATATTTATTTAATTTTGTAAATTGTCAATGTATAGGCCTATAAGCTTTTAAAAGCTTTAAGGATGTATTTTAATAAGTTGATTTTTATAGTGTACAGTAATGCCACGGCCAAAAAGCTTCACATTATTGCTAAAGTCATGTTTTTAACATGCTTGTACTGGTTATACTTTTAACCTGGCCATGCTTGTCTGATACACTGTCTTAAAAGTCAATTAACAATTTCAATTTTCTCCAAGTAAAAATGTAAATCTTCCTTATTTCTGTATATTATAAAGTCAAAAAGCCTTAAGACGGAACATTTATTAAGTGTGCCAAATAAAATGTTCGCTTTTGAAAGCACCAACGAATAGTACGAATGACAAAATTGCACTGGGTTTCCTGGACAATGAAAACAATATATTTGGATCACAATTTAGGATGAAGCAATATCTTTTATGGTTATACAATGAGAATTTTTAAAATAAATGAAAAACATCATCTACAGTACTGTACCTTACAAGAATTCTTTTGATGTGGTACTTTTCTCCATTTACCCCTGCCATACTTGTAATCATAATTCAAAGTCTGCTTTGGTAATACATTATATAGTAGAGCTTTTTAAAGCATACTCAGAAACTAGTTTTATAGTTAAAATGATGAATAATCGTTTACTACAGTAAGTGAGATTAACTGTGATATGGTAGCCAATATCCTGCTAAAATTGATATAAAATTTGTCATTTGGAGTACCTTAAGCAAGCCAATATTCACTTATTTATACAGTAGCTATGATCCCTCATTTATAATTAATTTTTTATGATTCTGCAAAATCTATGCGTTAGCATTAATCTATACAGTAGGACCTATCACTTACATAGTATGCCTACCAAATATATTATAATTAGGAGAAATCAGTTAAACAAATATCAAACTTCTGTTTACAACACAACAAAATATTCTATTTTGTTCAGTTACAGTACTGTAAGAATAAAAGTTTAACCACTGCTTATTTGAATACAGACATGAGCTAGTATTCGGATAGGATGAATCATCATTGTTTGTTTGCATCTTAATAGTCACGCGAAAATGTTGTTTTGTTAAAGTTTTCATTTTATAGGCAATTTTAAATTACATTCTGGGTAATGTTACATCATGCATATGTAGAGTATCAGCCTGGTAACCATTTCATGTGGAGTCAAAATGCAGTTGCAATGCGGTTCTTATCTTGGTAATCTGATAATTAACCAATAATAAGAGAACCTTTTCTTTCTCAATATTCAGTACAAACACACCCATTAATGTTTACATAAATTTCTTCAGTCATGCATGTTCAAAGTTGTATGTCGATTCAAATGTTACAATAAGCTGTGTTACTACAATAGACTCCTATTGAGAAGCCTATATGTCAATCAAAACATTTTGGTTTTTAATTACTGTGAAAGAAATTTAATACTAAAAACTAGATGAACCTATTTATCCATGTACTGTACAGTATTGTATTTTAACTGACCTTTGTATAACGTTCGTATTATGTAGGAAGGGTTTATAAATTACTAGTATCCCAGTAAAACTTTTTCTATTACAAACATTATACAGTATAAAGGCCAATTACAATGCTGTACAGTACATGGTACATGGGTAAATAGGTTTCATCTAGTGTTTATTTCTTTAGTTATAATAGTCTGAACGAGTGTATTGTATAATGTTTTTTGGGCAACAAGGTGGGAGAGAATATTATTTTAAGTTAATAAAAGGCTTGGGCAGGTTTAGGGCACTGTTAATAACTTATTGCTGCCTAGTACATGTTCAATAAAAGATATGTCTGCCATATTTAATGCACAAGAATGGGAACATTTATGAAAATCTCGTAAAACTCTGGAGAAATCCAAGAAAAATTCAAATTCCATGAGGAAATGTGGAATTTCCAGGAGAAAATGTGGAATTTCCTGGAGACTGGGAGATGAACCAAAATTCCTGGAGACTCCAGCCCAATCCGGGAGACTTGGAAGCCCTGTTAATATCCTACTTTCAAACTTAATCACTCTCAAAATATGACCTCCTTTTTCTATTACCTGTTTAGCTACCTTTCACTTCTTATTCTTAAGTTAATATTTTCTCCATGATTATGGTACTTTTTATGTTTTCTAATTATAAAATACATCTTTTTTCCATTAAGCGTTATAGTTGAAGAAAACTAAGGACAGTTGATAGGCATTTTGGGGGTGGGTGCGTGATAATATTGGTAAACTCTAAATAATAAGAGTGGATTTTAAGGATGGAAAGTGGGTTAATAAGGGTGGGTGCAGGGCCATGAAATTAGCTTTAGACTGGGTGGAAAATTTCAAGCCTGGATGGCCCCCACCCACCATAACTACATCCCTTCCATTCATTTCTCACATTGTACTTCATAATCATCTCATGCAAATCAGATCATTTTTATAAATCATGTTTTTCTTATGCGTTACTGTACGTGCCTCCTTTCTGAACGCCTCCACAAAAACCTTTTAAACAATGTCTCAGTGAATTTGTATAAATATTAGAATGGATTTAAACAGCAAGGACAACCTACAAAAGTCCAAAGACTTTTTCCAGTGGGATCCTTCAGGTGGTGATTATAGGCATTACACAACCACTACTCATTCCTGAAGAGTATACTGTACTGCGTTCTTTAACGTGTACATGGACCATTTGGCTCACAGGACCAACGGCTTAAACATCACATCTGAAAGTCGCTGCCCATTTTCTTTTGCATTTCAGTCCTTCAGCGCAAAGAGAGCAGTGATTGAAATTGAACCTGGTACTCTCCACAGTTCAGCACATCCACAGTTGCTACAACAATTTAGCTGGCTAAGTTAATTGCTTATAAATATATGGAAAATCAGAGACAAAATTTACCCATAAAGGCCTATTTATACTTGCAATGATAACGATAAAAAGTTAAAAAGGAGTTGTTCATAGAAAATTAAAAAATAAGTTTTTACACTTGCATGATTCAATAACGATAAATATTTTGACAAATCTATTCAAATGACATCATTATCATGGAAAAAACGTTAAAATCATTGTTACTACTACAAATTCCTCATTTTTCCATGATTATGATGTGATTTGTCAAAACATTTTTTTACTGTATATAAACAATAAATTATAATCAAATTGCTGTAGTCTAAAAATTTCTCTTATTTCTTTATTTTCTATTATGAGCAATTGCTTTAGCCTTTTATCGTTATCGTTGCAAGTATAAACAGGCATTTAGGGATGAAGAAAGTCTAGAATGAGCTACTAGGCCACAGATCAACCACCATGAGCATCTTGTTAAAATAATAGATACAAAGTATCAGCCCTACTGTACACAAGGTATACAAATTTACATTATCATAAGATGACAATGCTGAAGAGAAACACAACATGAATTCAAGGATAATGAGTTATTTCAAATTCATTTAAATTATAAAAAGAAGTGAATTCATTGTAATTGAATTGGAAGCTACAGTAAATCCTGTACTAAATCTAGAACCAATTGATTAAATGCCAATTTAGCTAAATTTAAAATCCTCCTTTTCTACTGGAAATACCTTAATAGCTTCAGTAATCACAAAAAACACCTTGGAATGCAAAGCTTCAAGGATGTTTTTCTAAAAGGCTCAATTTATTATTATAAAGTTTAAATACAAAGACCATTCGATCCTTCAAATAACCAGGACTACCATGGCCATATTCCAGCTATTCAATTAAAGAAAATTAAATGTAGTTGTTAAAACCAAGTTTTTTGTGGAAGCAGTTTGGTGCAGCTCTCCCAAACTCATGGTCAGGTTTTCCAGGGGTAGATTTATTAAATGAGGGAGGAGGAGTTACTGCATGGAGCTTGTAGTGTTCTTTGCCACATTCACCTAAACTTCACCATGATTGGGGATAAGATGTGAAAATTTGAGGGAATAGTACATCTAGAAGGCCCGAAATGACACTTTAGTAAAATTCATCATCAAGTTTTACGGCTGTACAGCACTTTCGTTAAAGCCTGGGTGATTTATGCAGTTCATTTCAACAATTTTCAGGCATCTTCTTGACTTTATGAAATTACATGTTGGTCGAAAAGTAGGGGCACAAACCCCTTGAAAATATCTTAGAGACGGTACCCCCGTGTCCCTCCCAATCATCTGCGCCCATGCTAGCAGTAGAAGCTACAGTACTAGCAGCAGTGGCTACTAGCATCAGTGGCATAGAAAAATTGAAATGTCATTGTAAATGTACATTTTTTT